TATTTGATCAGTATTCTGAAGTTATATTTCTAGGTGCATACATAATTTCTCTTCCTGATATATGTTCATTTTATCATTTTGTATTAACATTCTTTATTACTAACTCCTTCATTGAACAAATATTTTAGGAGCATGGGCTATCTGCCAGGCACTGTGCTAGGTAGTTGGGATATATCAGGGCACTAATAATATTTATTGCATTAATATTCATTTAATCTAATGTTAATACCAGCACCAGCTTTCTCTTGATCATTTTTTCTTGGTATATTTTTTATTTCTTAACTTTTAAAATATTTTTTTAATTTGACATAATTTCAGAAAATGTTGTAATAATAGTATAAAGAATTTCCAGTACCGAATGTATCCAGATTCTCTAAATGATAACATTTTACTATATCTGCATTATCCTCTCTCTCTCTCGCTTTCTGTCTCTCTTTCCTTCTCTTTATATCTATCAGTTTATATATAATTTTTGTCAACTATTTAAGAATAAGTTACTGATACTATATGATGCTCTTTATTGCCACATACTTCAGAGTATATTTTATAAAAACAAGGAATTTTCTTATATAACCATAGTATCATCAAAATCAGGAAATTAACATTGATATACCATTTATCTAATCTATAGATTCCATTTGGACTTTGCCATTTGTCCCAATAGCATCTGTTATAGCAAAAGAAAATCCAAGATCATGCATTGCATTCAGTTGTTATGTCTCCTTAGTCTTCTTTAATCTGGAAGAGTATCTGAGTCTTTTTTTGTATTTTGTTACACGGATATTTGTGAAGAGTATAAGCCTGTTATTTTGCAGAATGTCTTAGTGTCTGGGCTTGTCTAATGATGTTTCCTCATTAGATTTAGATCATGCACTTTTGGCAGGAATACCACATAAGTAACACTGAATTCTTCTCAGTGCGTCCTATCAAATATGTATTCTTTAATTTTCAACCTTTTTCTTATAAAGAAAACATGACTTCTTTTTTAAACATACAGTCTGAAAATCTTTTAACCAGAGACTTTAGTCTATTATACTAATTGTGATCACTGATATATTTATATTTATTACTTTGATGTTATTTCATGCTTTCTATTTATCCTGCTTTTTCCTATACTTTTTTCCCCTTCTGCCTTATTTTGGGTTGATGACATTTTCTCTACTCTTTCTTATTCATTTTAATGGCTACTCTTAACCTTTTAAAATATGGATGTCACTTTAATCATAGAGTTAATATACATCTCAACCCTCTTCTCAGATAAGGCTCTTAGAATCATTTAATCTAACAACCCCTCCCATTTTACATGTTTTTGTTGCCTAGTATTTTCTTTTACCTCAAAAACTAGACATTTTAATTGCTGTTGTTTTTAGTCACTCTTTTGGGTTCACCACTTCCTTCTGCGTCTCAGTCTTTTTTTTTTTTTCTAAAATATATTATTTAGAAAAAGTTCCTTTAAGCTTACTCTGGTGGTAGTAAACTCTCTCAGTTTTTGTTTGTCGGAAAAAGAAATTTATTTTGCTTTTACTCATGACTGATGGCTTTACTTGATTGACAGTTATTTTTCTCCCAGATGTTTGAAGATCATATTCCATTGTTTTTAAGTTGTATTATCATAGCAGTGCTAGGCCCACGGTCTCCTGTTTTGCCTAGGTCCCCTGACAGTGGCAGCAGCAGCGGTGCAGGTCACTTGTTCATGGGGCATGCATGAGCACCAGGACTCCCTGTTCTCTCCATGCCAGGCAGGGGCAAGGCAAGGCAGCAGTCATAGATCTGACCCCTGGGCAGAAGTAGTATTCCAGGGTTGGGATGTCACAATGGCCTGCCATTCCAAAATAATTATATCATATTTTTTGGATAAGCATATTATTGAATGCTAACTCCCCCAAAATACTACCAGAATAATCTGTTGATAAAGCAACAATGAGATTATTACTTATTGGCAAGTAAAAGCATACAATCTTGACAAGGTCTTGGTCATGTCTTCAAGGGCAAACACAGGAGATTTATTTTTGAGACTTCTTGGTGTTCTGATTTAGGGTGGTCCTTTCAATGCTGAGGCTTAATTAAAATTGATACATTTATGATATAATAGATTAGGATTGGTTGACATAGGAAGGTGGGGTTTTCAAAGTGAGTCTTGAACCATGATATTAAATTTTTGTTTTCTCCAAGATTAATAACTGCCTCATTTTCCACATTAATTTAGGGTTTTGTTTATCATCAATTAATATTTAAACTCTCCAACAGAACTCTAAAATTCCTCTCTGTATGGGCAATCTATGTTTCATTTTCCTCCCTTGAAGATACGCCTCTTAGAGCCTCCTGTCCTTTCTCTAATGTAGACTGGTTGCTCTTAGCCCTGCTGTACAGATGTCATCCTTGGATTTCTCTTTGCCTCTCTTGGATAGTGAATCTTACTCTTTGGATCTTATGTGTTAATATTTTCTATCTTTTTTTTTCATATTAGAGAAGCCATCCTCTAGTAGTGTTTTATAAGTCCTTTTCTATAAATAATCCATGTATAAATAATTGATATCATTAATATGATGTTTTGTTTTTGTCTATTTGTAATGCTAGAATTTCATTACAAAAGTATATCTCAGAATTGCTAGAAAAAGTTATCATTTTCTTCCAGATGAAATTTGGAACAATAGAAAATGATTGTGGGTAATTTTGCTTTTTACAGTTCTAGAAAGGCTATCTATATAAGTGGCTACAGGGATATATGTAGTTGAATTCCATATTTTAGTTTTTCAATTTGTTGTGAATATTTTTTATAACTATCAGGTAATAATGTTTAATAATTTTAAAAAATTGGTAAAGACTTGTAAATTTTGTTTGATAAATAAAGATAAATACAAAGCATTATCATTTTATCAAATTAACTTTAAAAAACCTCTTCTCAAATAATTACAGACTGATGTAATTTGAGGTTATATTGTAATTGCAAAAATTATGTCTTAAAAAGTATCTATAGTCTCTGAAGCTGGTATGCTGGAGCTCAAAAAATCAAATGTATATTTTTTTAAAAATATCATGATTCAAAAGAGATCCAGGCTACTGCCTCTCAGTTTCTAACATTTGAGTGTCAGTAACAATGCTGACAGGTAGATTCTAGGAAGAATTTGGGAAAAGAGAATCCCCAAGAGTACAGAGAAGGCTCTCAGTTAGCCTATGACTTCATGTTTCTAGGAACCAGATAGGCAGCAAGCTGCCATTACCTTTGGAAAATAGGGCCCTGGAATAAAGTGAGTCCTATCACTAGTCCATCACTCTTCCCCAATTCTTGTGCACATCAGGGAGATGTGGCCGAAAGAAATGATTCAGGAAATCTGTCCACATATAAAGCCTATCACCCACTGAGGGAAATTTGGCTGCCCTCCTGTTTTTACAGATCTATTCCTTGACCATGAAAAGCTCTAAAAAGCACTAACTCACATCTGTGGTACAGGCTTTTTTAGGGATGGTTCTGAGAATAATAGTGACCAATGAATGAACTGCATAGCCACTGTTTTGATCATGGGCAATGGTATGCCTTTTACACTATTCAGGGTCCAAGGGACTGAGAGAAGTTTGGAGAATAGTACAGGGCAGGTAGGAGAACATCTTAAGTCTGATTCATTTCTCCTATGCTCTCTCAAAAACCGTTAAGAAGTGGCTCTGCCACAATTCTATCACTTTTATATTTTCTTTGTTCAACAAGCTTTTTAAAATGAATAAATGTAGCATTTTGGGAAAAGCTAGACTTGTCTATAATTTTAATGCACTTGCCTAAACTCTTACTGAGGTCTTAGAAATAGTAATTTTTAAAGGGGGAAAGGAAAGGAGTGAGGAAGAAAGATGATTTATGGAAACAGTAAGACAAATTTTGATTTAGGTTTACATATTGGTCACAATAATATGTAAATATATTTATATTTGTATTATTTAAATTCATATAACTGGGAATTACTATAAATAATACTATCCTTAATAATGAAAAATATTTTATATGAGAAGTGGCAGTATGTAATATTTTGAAGAGCAGAGCACTGGAAGGCAGGATAACTAGAATCTTGTCCTGTCTTAGCCTCTAGGACAGTATGTACTCCTGGGCCACCTTCCCACCTCACCCTCGTCCTGCCCCCGTGGCAACCTCAACTGTTCACTTTTCCTCATGTGAATAATAAAGTTGTAGACTGGGTGACTACTAAGCTTCTTCTCAAGATTCTGTTATCATGTCATACATTTCAGAAGGTTTGTGTGTTTTCACTTAATGAAATTAGGTAGCATTACTTGTATTTTGTGATTTTTTAAAAATCATTCAGGTGTAAACATTTCAGTATTTGTAAAAGGTAATTATTTAAACAGCAGTGGTGTCCTTTTTGGGGTGCTGTACATAAATATAACACGGTAGATTTCCCTTGTAAGAACCTCTGATACGTGCTTAGATTGGAAATTGCCCTTACAGTGCCCTTTGGTGACATTTTCTATGATCTATTTTTAGTTTTACGGGGGGAATTGTCAACGTATTCATCCATTTGTAACTGAGTGGTATATTTCCTAAGGTTTGAGAATAGGTAAATAGCTTTGAAATTCTTGCTATTGTTTGGAAGGCTAATTGTGTAAATTTAAAATTTAAAGCTTTCGAATGGCTTCTTTTTAAAAGTGATTTTTACCAAATGTTCAATCATACTGTATTTGTGCTACAGTTGAAATGCTGAAGTTGCATTTTGGCATCTTTCCCAAAAGCATGCTTAAAGAGGCTAGCAGCAGCAGCTTCTCTCTGCTCCTCGGTGCTTTTTACCTTGCGAGTGGTGCAGCTTGTTCTGCGGATGTTCTGAAACCCTCCCATTTAATCTGCAGTGGAGAAGAATGGAGTTCAATGTCCAGTAGAAATCAAGCATGTAGCCAGGTTGCAGTAAATAGAAATGACTATATATTTCAACAGCTGAGCAAGAAGACATTTATAATATTGTTTTCTTCCAACTGATACATTTTTGCCTTCTGTTTCCTTCTAGAGAGATGTGGATAATTTGCCCTGCCTCCAACGTCTGTTTCTCAGCTTCAACAATATATCTAGGTAGGTGGAAACTCCCAACTTGTCATTTATTAACAACTTGATTGTGTGGGTTCTAGTACTTTATATTAAGATTGTAAATACCTTGGAGAATTTTATTGACATGGAAGATTTTAAATTGTAAAATCATGGAAGATTGTAAGATGTTATGACAGAGTTTTTTGTGGAAAAATGAAGCTCTTGTGTATGTTATTACCACTAATTCTAAAATGATGACATTAATATAACATGTGCTTTTTATTTAATTATACTTTAGAGTTATGCTTTTATAAAATATGTGTATGTGGAAATTTCAACATATATTTGGCTGTCCTTTGTTTGACATTCACTGCACTAGTCACTTGAATTAGAATTTCTTTCATAAATTATCATCTATAATTTCTATAGCTACTAAGCAATTTTAATACAGCAGGCTATATTTGTCACTGAGCCACTTGCTAATGAGGCCATAGCTGCTTTCTAACTTAATATCCTCACTTAGAATTAATACTGTTAAGAGACAGTATATTAGAATGTATAAATGTATAATTTAGTTTTCCAAAGATTTGAAGTGTATCATCCTTTTTATTGTGATAATGTCTCATTCAGCATCAATGTAGAAGATTTCAGAACTGGAGCTGAGACATACAGTCAGACTTTTCAATGCAAAAGGACTCTTATTTCTTCCTTAAGTTTTTTATTCTCCTCCTTCCCTCTAGGCACTTAGTTTGTACTAGACTTTATAATTACCCCTCAGATCTTTATTTTCATTTCAAGGCTGTTCTTTGAACTTGCTTTTATAAGAGGGTAAAAATTAAATAAGAAGGTTTATAGAATATCTCTTTCTGAACTCTATGTCAGTGCTTCTGTATCAAAAACAGTTTCATTTTTTTTTTTTTTTTTTTTTTTTTTTTTTTGAGACAGAGTCTCACTTTGTTGCCCAGGCTAGAGTGAGTGCCGTGGCGTCAGCCTAGCTCACAGCAACCTCAAACTCCTGGGCTCGAGCAATCCTGCTGCCTCAGCCTCCCGAGTAGCTGGGACTACAGGCATGCGCCACCATGCCTGGCTAATTTTTTACATATATATCAGTTGGCCAATTAATTTCTTTCTATTTATAGTAGAGACGGGGTCTCGCTCTTGCTCAGGCTGGTTTTGAACTCCTGACCTTGAGCAATCCGCCCGCCTCGGCCTCCCAGAGAGCTAGGACAGTTTCATTTTTGTGCAATTTCTATTCACATCTTTTTTGTCCTCTGCCAGACTTAAGTTTTAACCCTATCTTCCTATACTATATCTCTAAAAGACAAGAGATTATCTAAAGATGGTGAGCTTTGCATATAGGCATTATTTCAAAGATATTACCTATTATAGTGCTGTTTTTCCTTTTAGAGATCAAAAGTAGAAATTATTCTAAAATATTATAAAATAGAAAAATGTTGAGAATAAATTGACTTCATTTTCTTCATTGTTTATTTATTTATTCATTTATTTTTTTTTTAATTTTAAATCTTTTAATGGGCTCTACATGGGATTTTGATGTTTGGCAGAAGAAGTGACAATAATGATATTTGGTACCTAAAACAAATACTAAGTTATGATTTTAAATATTTTATAATCATATTCAGACAGATAGATTACGTGCAGATATAGTATATAGAAGCATTTTAAGGAATTTGAGTTCTAGAAAAGTTCTTTAAAGACCAACCTAATTAAAGCAATGTTTTTGAACCAGTAAAAGTAGATAGTATTATTGGAAATTCATTGCAACAGCACAGAATGGCATTTCACTTACAGTTTAAGCTTTCTGTTTTCTTCATTGTTTTTAGTACATTTGTTTATTAGATGACTGTGCTCTGGTTGTAATATTAATACTTTGCACTATAATATAAATTCTTTTTATGCACTAAATTAAGTATTACACCATTTAACTAGCCAGTTTCCTCTGACTACTGTTTATTTTTGTGTTGTAGCCAAAATTACTTTTTATTTCTGTTCGTTTGAAGTATGCTTGTTGAGCTCATGCTAGACAAATTACTGAGTATGGATAGGATATTAACGCCATCTACTCTTGTTAAACGGCAGTGTTATTATTGAAGACGTTGGAGATTTTCTTCTGATTTAAGGGAACTGACGTTACTGCCATTCACATAATAGATAAATGAACGTTAGAAATTAACTTCTTTATATTCCTTATTCATCTTTATAGTATTTTGTATAATTATAAATTTTATAATTTTTGCTTTAAACTTGCATTTTAAAGTGAACAGAATACATTTGCTTTATATCTTCTAATTTACTAAATTGTATATAGAATTTGCTGCCAAGAAAATATTATGTGAATAACACAAATAGAGGTTAAAGGCTTCATTCAGATATGTTATCAGGGAGCACCTGAAAACCAGGTGACTCTCTGATTGAAGCAGCCTCAGAGTATTTATAGGATATTGGAAAGTTGAATAAGTGACTTTGTAATTTTATCTTAAGCAGCAATTTTTACTTTAACTGCCACCCACCATTAGAGGTTTTCCTATTTTCATGCCTCTTGCTTGAGTTCTCAAATGTCAGAACAGTGTTTTGTGAGGACAGTTTTTGCAAGCCTTACAGTTTATCAGAGTCAAAGTTCATGGGGCAGCAGTGGTAGACAGTTAAAAAGAAATAAAAGTGGGCAAATGTATAAATAAGGCAAGGGGGAAACTGTGGACTTTCTACTTTGTTTTATTCCTTTTGCATTACCTTTGAAGGAGAGAAAGGAAAAAAAAATCTAATGGATAGCAGTTACCTTTTTACTATTATTACAGACCTTATTTTATTATGCTCTTTCTGTCAGCATCTATAATCATTTAAGGCATTAAATCTGTAGGTACAAATGCTGTCATGGACTTGAATTATAACATTATAAAGTGAAGAGTGATAGCCATGTATGCTCTAACTCTCTTTTATAAGTTGTTAAAATTAGTCTTCCCAAATTATAGTTGTTTTCAATTCAAAGATTGTCTTTCTTCAATGGGCAATATTAGTAAATTAAACAGTTTCTCTACCTGTACCTTCTCAACTAACTTATAAATATACATATGATTTTGAACTCATAGGAAAATTTCTAGATACTCTTACTGTAAGGTTTCATTTTCACTGGTGTAAAGGTTGTGTGTGTGTGTGTGTGTGTGTGTGTGTGTGTGTGTGAGAGAGAGAGAGAGAGAGAGAGAGAGAGAGAGAAAGAGAGAGAGAGAGATTGATTTTCTAAAAGAAGGCATCTCAAACCAAAATTAACTAAGGCTTTGGGAGCAGGCTGTTTGCACACCTTGTCTCAGTCTGGGTTCACACATGCATAGTTGAGAGGCTGATAGCTAGCTATTCATGGCAGTGAATTAGCATTTTTAAAAGCATTGACTTACCTAAGGTCCTTTTGAGTTTTGTTGATGTGAAGGTCCTAGAAGTTGCAGGAAAATTTTTGGTGCATAATACTAAAGGGAAGGACCTTGAGCCTTAAAATTACTTATGATTAAATATTGGGTGGCTGTTTCTAGGTTCAGAAACAAACAAATATGATGAATTGAGACCAACGTATGTTTTATGATTTCCTTTGTATTTTGTTCTACAAATGCAAGAAAATCCAAAGTATTTTCAGAAACAAACTTAAGAAATAAATAAATTAAATCCAAAATGTATTTAGAAACAACATTAAGATATATAAGTAGTTTCTTGTAGTGCTGTTTCTTGTACTTACATTGTTGAAATACTCCTAAAAGGGATTTGAAGTAGACTACAATAAGAATCACAAATACAATGAACACAAACATTTAAAACAGAGGTAAATGAGAACAAGAGCCTAATATTGAAATGACTGAACAAATTAGTCAGTTAATTTCAGGAAAGAAACAAGTTAAAAATTAATCATGCCAAAACCCGCTAATGTATTCTGTCTGCAAAACATTCAAGTTTGATCTACTGAAGAAACTACTGTTTATCCTTTATTATTCAATGCAGACCTCAAACAAGGAGAATTATTTCCTTTTCTACAACCTTTATTATACCTCTTAGAGTACAATAATATCTGTTTTATGTGTATCCAATTAGACCATGTTCAACTTTTTGTAGTATATGTCACATCTAGCACAGAGTAGGCACACAGTTATTATTGGTTTTAATTAATGAATAAATATAGTCAAAATTTAAATCTGATGTTTTTCAGTATCTGTAGATAATTCTTAACAGTCCTATTCAACAGGTTATCTTATTTAGTTGTCTGAGGATTCAGTTTGCAGCTAATGTATCATGGCTGTCCTTTGGGATATAAATCTGCTAAAAAGTAACTAAGACAAAGAAGCCAAAGTAACATTGTTTTACATTCGAGTTGGATTATCGGTAACACTTGTCTCAAGATCTTCCAGACCAAAGACTCTCTTCAATGATTTATGATTTTAGAGGTATACTTTTTGAACATTTGAGTAGATTTAAAATTGCTGTTTGGAGAAAAACATGGATAGTGCTTCAAGTAATTTCTAACTCATCTGATGCCAAAGATAAGCTTGTTCTCCATTAGAACAAAAATATCTGTGTGATTTACATTTATATAGATTTTTAACCTATATATCTCTATATATTTACATTTATATAGATTTTTTTATACTTTTTAAAGTCCTTGTCTACTAATTCCAACATCTATGTCATCTGGTACTGTTTCTAGTGACTTTTTTTCTTGTTAATACGTATTACAATTTATTGCTTCTTCCTCATCTGGTAATTTTTTATTGTATTATGGGCATTGTATATATTGTTATGAGTCTGGATTTTGTCTTAATTTAAAGACTATTGAGTTTTGTTCTGATCACTTCTGGAGAATACAGTTGATCTTACTGAGGCTTATTTTTAGTTTTTTTTTTTTTTTAATGGCAGATCTATAGTGATACTTATTCCAGAGCTAGAGTAGTAAGTTTTTATATCTATGTTTATTTTATTATGACAGTAAACGTAAGATTTCTGGATCATAGGCAGACTGATTATTTACCTGCAGAATATCTTGCATTGGT